TTTTTTTTCACTAAATGATATTTCTTAGACATCTTTCCATATCAGCACTTACAGATATTCTGAATTCTTTCTTTTTTAACCGTCTATGGTTCCTTCACTTCCCTCCCAGACTTTCTTAATTCCATTTGTCCATCCATCCATCCATCTACTTATATGTGGTAATACATGAAATCCACCAAACTGCCATTCACACTGGTTTAAATTCTTGTCAGCTTTCTGATCCTGTTCTCGACTCATTCAAAAGATTTGTTATTTCTTATTTTAAAAAACACAATGCCAATGGCTGAATTAACTCCCTGGGCTGCCGAGCTGAGAATGCCATCAGATTTGGCCGCCTTCTGAGTGCCACCCCTGTCCAGATCAGGCACCCAGCCTTCCTCTGGGTCCTTTCCAGGATGAAAACATGGAGTCTTTTTCATGTCTTAGCTAAAGTTCTCTGACCCTTGAAATCAGTGTCAGCTGCATACTTTTGAGAATTACTAAAAGAATTAAAACAACCCAAATAAAATTTTCAAAGTAGCTTTTCAATAATAAAAAAACTTTTCATTTCATAAATAGTGTTTTCCCCTTGACTTTATAAATCTTTATTACCTTTTCCTTGCCACAAATTAATTTTTAAACAGATAACACAAAAGCAATGTGAGACAATATAGAGACTTTAAGCAGTGACGCCACAGAAGCCTGACTTCAAATAACCACCCTGCCTAGTTTTTTCATCTGTGAAATAGAGATGAATACCTATCTCTAGCAGGTTTTTTATGAAGGTGAAGATAAGCAATAATGTGTGTAAAGAATCTAAATGCATTGCCCGGTGCAATAGAAAATGGCCAATAAAAGATAACTATTATTATTAATAACACTGTATGACTAATGCATTCTACATGATATGGAAAATAACTACAATTTATTTTTTATCAAGTTCACAACTAAAGATAATCTTTAGAAACCTAAGGAATAAATTCCTTTTGATCATTTCTTAAATAATATCTTTAGATACGAGTGTGAAGAATCTTTTACAACTCTGAATGTAGATATTAGAAATCACCAAAACCTTCTTGATTCTTTGGAACAGTATATCAAAGGAGATCTGTTGGAAGGTGCAAATGCATATCGTTGTGAAAAATGTGATAAAAAGGTATGTATAGTCCAGTTTTAAAAAATATATGATTGTGTTTAACCACTGTTTGTGTTTAACTTGTATATTATATCTGCTCTCCCTCTGCTTTCTTGTTCTGGTAGCAGAGAGGTAGTCAAGATAATAACTGATTTAAGGATTTGTGAGTGAAACAAGAGAATAATTCAGTGAACTAGGAAAAATCATTTCAATTGAGTACTTAAATTGAGAACTCACAATAGTTTGATATCACTTTTTCTTGTAGTTCATAGTAGCACGCTTTCTATTTTTGCCCTTAAGCAAATTGCCCTTGAACTCTTCCCACCTAAAGAATTGATAATGGAAGACATTTTTCTCTTTTATACATCACGTTACTCTGCAAGTATAGAAGAACTGCGCTAGTTTTATTTGATTACAATAGATTTTCACAGCCTTGCGTTTTAAGCACCAGGTGTGATTTTTATATCTAGCCAAATAATTTTATGGCTAGCCACTAGTTATACCTCTAAACAGTTCCTGAGATGGAACCATAACATGTCTTTGAAAATAAAATTTATATGGTAAAGAGTAAATATTTTTCTGGGCCCACCATACTCTCACCTTCCAAGTTACCTACATTATTTTGACTTTAAACACCATTTAGATTGTGCCCGCCAAAGCTATTCTGCCTGCTTCCCACATGTCTGAGACAGTTTCTTCTGGAGCAATTATTTCTTATATATCCTGTCACTCTTAATATCCATGTTTTAAAGTAAAAGACCTTGATACCACCTTTGTCAGAAAGTAGTGATGATTAAATACATTAATTAATATGTGTGCAGTACTGAGCATATTATCTGACATCCAAGTGTCATATTAGCTACTATTATTAATAGTTCTTCGGTTTACTCACAATAGAGTCTTTTAATCATCATAAAAGGAAACATCAGAAAAGTAACATGATCCGATAGCAGTAGTAGTATGGAGCCACGTAGCCATCATTTTATCACTGATTTTTTTTTGCAATTTGCAATAAATGAGAAATGATTTACACATTTTTAGGCTTTGTATAAACATTTTGAAAGAGTCAGTAGTGACAGAATGACTTCAACTGTGTTCTTTATCATGTATTCATCTATTTGTAAATAAATACAGATAGGTCATAATATTTTTAATTATTACATTGTTTTATGTTTTATTTGGGTTATAAAAACATGTTTCTTTATTGTTTATTGTAGGTTGATACAGTAAAGCGCTTGCTAATTAAAAAATTGCCTCCTGTTCTTGCTATCCAATTGAAACGATTTGACTATGACTGGGAAAGAGAATGTGCAATTAAATTCAATGATTATTTTGAATTTCCACGAGAGCTGGATATGGAACCTTACACGGTACTAGGTGTTGCAAAGCTGGAAGGAGATAATGTAAACCCAGATAGTCATTTGGTACAACAGAATGAGCAGTCTGAAAGTGAGGTAGCAGAAAGCACAAAATACAGACTTGTAGGTGTGCTTGTACACAGTGGTCAAGCAAGTGGTGGACATTATTATTCTTACATCATTGAAAGGAATGGTAAAGATGGTGAGAGAAATCGCTGGTATAAATTTGATGATGGAGATGTAACAGAATGTAAAATGGATGATGACGAAGAAATGAAAAATCAGTGTTTCGGTGGAGAGTACATGGGAGAAGTATTTGATCATATGATGAAGCGCATGTCATACAGGAGACAGAAAAGGTGGTGGAATGCTTATATACTATTTTATGAACGGATGGACACCATAGACCAAGATGACGAGATATTAAGATATATTTCAGAGCTGACTATCACAAGACCCCATCAAATTATGTCACCAGCCATTGAGAGAAGTGTACGGAAACAAAATGTGCAATTCATGCATAACCGAATGCAGTACAGTTTAGAATATTTTCAGTTTGTGAAAAAACTTCTTACATGTAATGGTATTTACTTAAGCCCCACTCCAGGTAAGCTTCTGGAATTTAGCTGCTTATTAATAAATAATTTTTATTTCATTTATAGGATTTTTTTAGGTATTAATATGTGTTCTAGGTTTTTTGTTTTTTCCTTTTTTCATAAAATTAGTCTTCAAATCATTTTATTTTAAAACTCAGCTTTTCTTAGTTCCAGTCGTTTTAAAGTCAAATTATTTAGCATGCCTATGTCTTTAAATAGTGGCAGTCATTGTCTAGAAACATAGAAGAGCTTTATTACATTTTCTTTTGACTAAAACATTACTTTCAGATGTGGTTTAATGAAGTGCTAATATAATCACTAAAGATTACTCTTAACTAAGATTTTGAAAATTTGGAGCATTTGTTTTAACACATTTAAATAATATGTTTTGATTGTGTATATGCTTTTTATTTAAGGACAAGATCAGTTGTTGCCTGAAGCAGAAGAAATCACTATGATTAGTATTCAGCTTGCAGCTAGATTCCTCTTTACCACTGGATTTCATACCAAGAAAATTGTCCGTGGCCCTGCCAGTGATTGGTACATGGTTTTGGATTTTATTAATATTGTCCATATAGTGGGTTTAATTCATTACTATACTGCTTATTTTTCCCTAACCTTGGGACTCTTATTTCAAATTTCAAAGAAAAGGTAAAAATCTTGGTAGTAATGTTGAGAGAAATTATTTGATTTTCATGTGCCTTTTATTAGAATTGGCTGTTTCTATTAACTTGTATTTTTTTTTTGTCTATTTTATCATGAAATATTAAGCTTTATGTTTACTAATGGGCATTCTGACTTAAGTATTATAAAGTAGAAATGGTTTTAGTAGAAATTTTGAAATGGTTTTAGTCTTAAGTATCTAATTATGGAGCTATGGAGGATTTTATAATATCTTGATCTAACAATTATTTTTCGCATGTTTCAGATTAGATGTTAAGGAGATATCACTAGGGGAGGAAGAGTTTGATAATAGATTTGCATTTACCTACACAAATTCTCATTTAATTAATTTTTTAACTGTAAGACTAGATCAAGTTACAAGGCTGAGATTTGTATTAAAACCAGCCACGACCATTAACTGTAGAGAAAAGCTTTCCTTTTTATTTAGTTCATAGAAACATGTTGATTCACCGTATCAATCAAAATAGAAGACCATAATAAAAAATTATTTTCATATTTTTTTCCATATATTTTTGTTTTAGGTATGATGCACTGTGCATTCTACTTCGTCACAGCAAGAATGTACGTTTTTGGTTTGCTCATAATGTCCTTTTTAATGTTTCAAATCGCTTCTCTGAATATCTTCTGGAGTGTCCTAGTGCCGAAGTGAGGAGTGCATTTGCAAAACTTATAGTATTTATTGCGCATTTTTCTTTGCAAGATGGGCCTTGTCCTTCATTTTTTACATCTCCAGGACCTGCTAGTCAGGTAATTGGAAACTTCTGTAACAATGAAGTACTTAGAGTAAATACTGTTTTCTGCAAGTTCGAATTAGTAAATATGTACATCTGTTTCACATATTTACCTTATAAGAATGCATGCATACATTACTGGGTTCATTAAAATTATTTTTCAGTGATGAATAATTATTGGGCACTTTAAAAAATAAGAGAAATTTCTTCTGTTCATTTATTGCAGTAATGTGTAAGTCTTCAGATATTACATGTTCACTTTACTTTTTTAATAGCTAACTTTTAATTTTTTTGTTAAATAGCCTTTTTGACATAAAACAACACATGGATTTTTTAACAGTTGCAACGGTATAAAGCATCTATAATAGAATATATTCCAGCTCTTCGTTTCCTCTCAAAAGAAATTATAATTAATAATTTCTTTTGTGAAATTTGTCCCTCATGCAGCGAACATGTGAACATAATTCTTTTTTATGCAAATAGAAGTATACTTAGTTTTTCATCTCATTGTTGATAAAATATCTTATTTTTTATAGTCATGTGATAACTTAAGCTTGAGTGATCACTTATTAAGAGCAGTATTAAATCTCCTGAGAAGAGAAGTTTCAGAGTATGGCCGTCATTTGCAGCAATATTTCAGTCTGTTTGTAATGTATGCTAATTTAGGTAAGTACTTTTCATTAGTCTGTTTACTATATTGTTTCATGTACACATTAAATAATGAAAGCATTTTAATACAGTGATTATATTTAATCTCTTCCAAAAGAAGCAGTATCCCATATTCATATTATTAAAACCCACTGCAGACTTCTTGTATAACTTTTTAGTGGCAGTTTGTCTCCTATCCTTTCTTACTTACTTTCGTTGGTAGTCATTAAACTCAGAACCCATCTGATTTATGTTTTCATGTCTTAATTCTGGTTTTGAAAAACTGATTCTCAGGCCATATTCCATCATCTAGGTCAGAATTTCATGGGCTAGGAAAATCTGTATTTTCTTAAAGATCCCAGGTGGTGGTACTTGTCAGGTTTAGAATTATTCATACAGAAATTGGCCTGTACTCATGTTTTGTTAAAATAAAATAAATTTAAATCAGTAACAAATACATAAATTGTTCACTTATTCTGTTGAAATCAATATCAATAATAAAATCAATATTTTTAAGATATCCTTTTTAGAGTCACCCACTTATTCTCAAAGCACCTATTTTTCTTCTCATTGGTTCCGGAATTCTTACCTAAAAAATTGTACTGTACTATTTTGCTGATTCCACTGTATCTGTAACTTTTTTGATTTGTTTCCCAGCAAGATTGCAAAATTCTTCTGATCAGGGCTTTGCACAGTAGCACTCAGTCACTTAATTGAGTGAATGGATGGATAGCCAAGGATATACATAAGTTTTCTAGTATTTTCAGTGTTGTTTTAAGTCATTATTTATTGAGGAAAAAGATCAATTTGTTATAGTTGCAGGAATAAAATTGAAGGTCAGTGATTCACATGTTAATGCATCAATAGCTCAAAATTAATTTTTTTAGGTAAAGTCTAGTTAAAATTTTGCAGTATTAACATACATTGATTGATTACATTTTTATAAGTAATTAAGAGAATTAAGAGATTGTTTTGAATAACTTCTAAAATCACAAATATTTTACATCCAAAATTATGTTCTATGCCAAGTCATTTTCTTTCTTAAAGCTTTACTTGTCTAACCTACTAATCAACTGTTAATCTGTGATTTATGAAAGAAAATTCTCCTTTTTTTTCTTTTTTTTCTTATTATTTATTTTTCTTATTTGCACGTCTATAACTGAGATTCTGGGATACTTATAATTGAGAAGAAAGAATATCACACAAATTAGCATAATTGAAATTCTTTTTTTATTCGTATTTTTTTTTAATGCAGAACTACCAAATATAACCACTTTCAAAAATCCTACAGGAAAAAAAATAGATAAAATAAAAATAAAATCCTACAGGTTTCATTTTAGATACTACTTGTTCATAAACCATTCATCATTGATCCATAATATAATTTAATAGTAAATCTCACAACAAGAAGTATACCTTGATAAATCTTTATATTAAATTCTCAGGGCCGGATACATTTTAAGTTTCAGAATTCTTTTGGATTTTATAAAGGTGAAACAGTATATTTACCACACTTATTTCATATACCCTTTAAGATCTGTAGCAGTTCCCTAAAATCAGACTTATGAGAATTTCTGTGATAGATAATGAGTATTTACTTTGGAGCAATAGATGGTGAATAAATGTCAGTTCAAACTAGATTTCATCAGAAAGTATTATCATTACACAAACCTTATAAAAAATCTGTTTTTAGAGCTTTTTGAGTTTCAGATAAAACATGATTAATCTGTCTTTATTGTTGTCCTAGAAAAATAGTAATGAATAAAGAATCCTAATGGGATACAAAGTGGAGTGAAGCATGTCTAAGGGAGTATCTGACCTGCATTTAGAGACTAAAAAGGAAGGGGCTTGCTGTAGAAAGTAGTGTGGGGAATTGGTTGGTAAATAGTGAATGGCAGATACAGAGACATTATCTAGAGTCAGGGGGAAAATCCACGTAAGAGTAAGAAGTATCCAGAAAAGAGAGGATGAAAAAAAGGAGAAGAGTAATTTAAAGTAAAAACAAGGGAGAAGTGAAGTTAAAGAATTTTCTTTAGCCTCAAACCAAGAAAATTGGGACAGAAACCTTAAATGGCATGAGAAATGGGAAAATAAGAAAAGTGAATATTTAGGGTTTTCTTTTCCCAAAAAAAGTTTGCCAGGGAAAGAAAAAGAGAGAATGGTCATTTACAGAAGAATTTGTCTCATTTAATTTAGTTTCTGTCTTTATCCTTACTATAGATGAGAATTACTTTCTAGGCCCCACTAGTCTCTCTAGGCCCTGGATAATGTACATTTTCCTTAGGGTTCAGTGTAATTGGAATCCAGAATCCATCACTACCTCAGTTAGAATAATTACTTTAACTGAATTATGTGTATTCTCTCTGCATTCTGTTTGTATTTCTGAAGTCTTAACAAAAGTGATGAGCTTTATAGGAACCTATATCAGATAATTTCTATCAGTGCAGCACTTGCCATTTTATTTTATTTTCCTTTATTTTTTTTACACATTATTTTCCCTTCTTTTACAGGTATGGCAGAAAAGACACAGCTTCTGAAATTGAGTGTACCTGCTACCTTTATGCTTGTATCTTTAGATGAAGGACCAGGTCCTCCAATCAAATATCAGTATGCTGAATTAGGCAAGTTATACTCAGTAGTGTCTCAACTGATTCGCTGTTGCAATGTCTCATCAAGAATGCAGTCTTCAATCAATGGTAAAGTAAAATGTTTCATTATTTTCAGTAGTTTAAAAATAATGCTAGCCTTCTCATTTTTTAAACCATTAGTTTATTTATTAAAAAGACCTTTTAAAACTTATTCCTATTGTGATAAATCCCTTACTTATGAAATGGTTAGTTTAAGAAATTTAACTTTAGGTTTCTTTTTTTCAATGTCAGCATTTATATTTTTGCATCTCATCATCATTTTAATAAATGTTTTATTGTGGTTAGGAAACTTTATGATAACTTTTCAGAATAAAAATTCAATATTATAATTTTGTGACATTCTTTATTCTGTTCTAGGTAATCCCCCTCTTCCTAATCCTTTTGGTGACCCTAATTTGTCCCAGCCTATAATGCCAATCCAGCAGAATGTGGCAGACATTTTATTTGTGAGAACAAGTTATGTGAAGAAAATTATTGAAGACTGTAGTAACTCAGAGGAAACCATTAAATTGCTTCGTTTTTGCTGCTGGGAGAATCCTCAGTTCTCATCTACTGTCCTCAGTGAACTTCTCTGGCAGGTTAACAGAAAATGAACATTTATATTATCTGTAATTTGATTCATTATTCCTTTAAATAAGTAATTTTAATTGTATTTTACCTATTTTTAGGTTGCATATTCATATACCTATGAACTTCGGCCATATTTGGATCTGCTTTTACAAATTTTACTTATTGAGGATTCCTGGCAGACTCACAGGTAGATATACTTTTTGCTATCAAAATGATTACATTCTTTTTAGAGTCTACAAATAACTGAAATTACCAGTGGCCAAATAATATTTTTTACTTTATAAAGCTCTGTTGAATGGTTTATCTTTTAAAAATATAATAAAAAATGGAAAATTCTCACCTATCACAATTTTATTAAATTTTTATTCTTCTAAGACTCCAGTTTCATATGTAATACTAGTTTTTTTCCTTCCATTTAATGTTTTTCACTTTTTTTTTCAGTTACAGTTAACATTTAGTATTATTTTTTATTAGTTTCAGGTATAGGAGCATAGTGATTAGACATTTATATAATGCATGAAGTGATCCCCCTATTAATCTACTACCTACCTGATACTATCCATAGTTAGTAAAATTTTATTAACTTTATTTCTTGTGCTGTACTTCACATCCCGTGACTATTTCATTACTACCAATTTGTATTTCTTGATCCCTTTCTTTTTTCAGCCAGCCCTTCAAACCCTTCCCAGCTGGCAACTATCAGTTTCTTCCCTGTATCTGTGATTATGTTTCTGTTTTGTCTTGTTGTTGTTGTTGTTGTTTATTTAGTTTTTTAAATTCTGCATTAGAAGTGAAATCATATGGTATTTATCATTCCCTGACTTATTTCACTTAGCATAATACTCTCTCCATCCTTCCATGTTGTCACAAATGATTAAGATTTTATTTTTTTATTTTATGGCTGAATAATATTCCATTGTATATGTATTTTTCTAACCCATTTGGCTATTAATGGGCATTTAGGTTGCTTCCATATCTTGGGTATTAAAGTAGTGCTTTAGTGAACATAGGGGTGCATAGATCTTTTTGAATTAGTAATTTGGAATTAGCATTTTGGATTTCTTCAGATAAATACCATATAGTGGAATTGTTGATTCAAATGGTAGATCCATTCTTAATTTTTTGAGGAACCTCCATACTGTTTTCCATAGTGGCTGCACCAATTTGCAAGCCCACCAACAGAGCACGAAAACTCCCTTTTCTCCATATCCTTGCCAGCTTGTCACTTATTGATTTGTTGATGATGGCCATTCTCACAGGTGTGAGTGATATCTCATCATAATTTTAATTTGCATTTCTCTAATGATTAGTGACTTTGAGCCATGTTTTCATGTGTTTATTTGACATCTGTATGTCCTCTTTAGAGAAATATCTGTTTGAGTCCTTCTCATGTTTTTTAATTGGATTTTTTGGTGCCACTTAATTTTTTTATTAAGAAAACAACACAGGCTTTTGATAAGTATTCAAGTTTTTTTAATATTGTCTTAAGATTACATTGTGCATTTGACCTTTGAGCAACATGGATTTGAACTGCGTGGGGGTCCACTTAATTTTTTTTTAGTAAATACATACAGTACTGTAGATGTATTTTTTCCTTAAGATTTTTTCTTCTAGAATACAGTATATAATACATAATACATATAATATACATATCATACAAAGTATGTTACTCAGCTGTTTATCTTATCACTAAAACTGATACAGTATGCTATTAGTAGTTAAGTTTTTGAAGAGTCAGAAGTTATACATGAACTTTATTCTGTTTGGCTGTTGGTGCCTCTGACTCCTGGGTTATTCAAGAGTCAACTGTACTTATTTTTTAATCAGTTACATTAGGTAACATTTAGTTATCTAAAAGTAATCCCTAACCTTAGTGGTTTTATTAGTATATGAGGAGTTAAGAATTACAACTTTTAGAATTAAGGCTATCTTACTAACAAGTCTTTAAATGTCTCTCAGAATTCATTGATATGTTTTTTGCAGTAAAGTCAGCCTAAGAATGATTATGTAGAATTAGTTGCCCACCTCTGCCAGGTAACCCTCAGTTTTCTCCCCACAGGGGTTATATTATCGTGGTTTATTTTAGGAACCAAATATATGTACATATTGTCACCTATTGGTCATTGTAATAAGCAGAAGAAAAACCTGAAAATATACTTGTGTTTCATAAATTTGTAGGATACAGTGCTTAAAGATAAATTATTACCATATCGAATTTTAGGGATACTAAAAATAGACTTCTTGAATAAATGTTTTCGAATTGTCACCTAATTCACAATCAGATTTCAGACAAATCATTAAACATCAAATAGCATTAACAAAAACTAATTGCCAAGAAACAAAAATGTTTTAAGTTCCAAATTGTAGTCATTAATTTCAGTATTATGAAAAGTTTGATATTTTTAGAAAACTTTGTTTTAATGGAATCTGATTTTCTCCTTTTTATAAAAAAATTTCTAAGTATATATTGTTTAATGTGTGACTTTGTTTTACTATACTTTAAATTTATCAGTCACATCCTAGCCTTGGTTTACCCAAAGAAATGATCAATGATAAAGGTATAAATGCTAGATTCTTGTGGAAAATATTTGTCTTTTATGAACAAATTAATCAGATATTGATGTTATGAGGGTAAGCGTGGAAATTTTTTGTGATGGGCATATACTTTATTCAATTTAAGAGATATTTACAATGTTTTACTATTACGAGGCACTGTAATTGGCAACAGAACAAGAGAAGCAAAGATAGTATTGATCATAGTGGATATGAAAACAGTCAACACTAATGTTGATGTGGCAGAAGTGTTAAGTATTACTCGTTATTAAAACAAGAACTAAAATAGAATAATTATTTTAATACAAGTTTTTCAAGATAAATACTACCTATGCATGTTTTTTTCTGTGTGTGTAATGATCAGACTTGGAAAAATGCCTGAAAATTGTTTTCCACATGACTTAAGTTTTAAAAAACATTTTAAAAAACTTGCTTTCTATTTACAATATGATGATATTCTATTAAATAAAATGTGTTGAGGAGAATTTTTTTCTAGATGCTTTAGTCCAGGTATTGATACCAAAGAAAGAAGGTATCTTTTGTCCCATAAATAGTTTTAAACTAGATATTGAGGAGAACAGAAAATAATTAGCTATATAAGATGTTATGTCGAGATTTGGCTACACCTGAAATGAAAATATTAATCATTAGCAAATCAGCCAAATTATACTATTGCTTGTGAAAATCACTTTAACTACCACTACCACGTATGTATTGAAATGATTAGAATTCAAGTTCATTTTGTGCTGCTAAATTATGTTGCTATCAATCATTAAATCCTTACTTTACACTATTAAAAATGTAATCTTTTTTATGATCCTACTCGAAGTAAATTATTCTCAACCAGAGTAGTCATGAAAACATAGTAGTAGTTAACTTTAATAAAAAATAGTATTGGAATTTTTAATTTACTTCTGATAATACATTTAAATTACATAGCAAAATCATTTTGGATTAATAATAATTTGGTAAGGTTTCTGACTCCTGAGAAAGACTTAGCTTCCCAGCTTCCTACTTCTATGACAATTAAGCAAGTTGTTTGACTTTTGTACTACTTTTCTCATCCATTATATGGGTTTACTAATGCTACCTACTTAAATAATTAACTCTAGAGTTAGAGTAGATGACTGTATCGAAACATATATTGAATGGCACACTACTCAAATGTTAGCAACTAGATATTACAAATTTTTATATCTTTTTTTTTTTTTTTTAGGATTCATAATAAGTCATTCTTAATTCACATACTCTCTCTAAACAGTTTCAGAAAGGCTTCCTGGGTGGTCAGAAATTTTTTCCCAAAATAAACAATATTACAGGTGAGAATTTTTCTTATAATTTTGTTACAATCCGAATCACAATTAAAGACTTTTAAAAGAAACAAATCATGAAAATTTGGAGTTGATATTTTAAATTAATATTGAAAATTATTCCAAATTCTTTTACATAATTGTAATTTTTTTTCTTTCTCAAAGGGTAATGGAGATCTTAAAAGAAAGTGGACCTGGGCTGTGGAATGGCTTGGAGATGAACTTGAAAGAAGACCGTACACTGGCAATCCTCAATATACTTATAACAATTGGTCTCCTCCAGTGCAAAGCAATGAAACATCAAATGGTTATTTCTTAGAGAGATCACATAGTGCTAGGATGACACTTTCAAAAGCTTGTGAACTCTGTCCAGAGGAGGTAAAAAAAAAAAAGCCACCAGTGGGCAACAGATAAAAATGGAAAAAAGAAAAGTAATTTTTTGTTTTATAGGCTAGTGTTTACTATGTAAAAATTTTGTGTTGCATTTTTAATGGCTTTAATGTTTAGTATTGACCAGCTTATATCAAAGGAGCTTATTAATGCAGAGTTATTTTGGAGAAATTTTTTGGAAATTGTCTAAAAATCATGTATCTGGGAGAATCTAATTTTTTCCTCTAATTGTAAACTTTATCTGCAGCACATGGGAAAAGTTAAAGAGGTTACCTTTGTGGATTCTTAAAATGTATCTCAAAATAAGGAAATTTTAAAATTTAAAGTTGCTTTCATAATCATTCTTAATTTTTTTATGTATTTAAAATTAGGAGCCAGATGACCAAGATGCCACAGATGAGCATGAGTCATCTCCTCCAGAAGATGCCCCATTATATGCTCATTCTTCTGGTTCTCACTATCAACAGGTAAACAGGCACTTGTTTGTTTTATCTATTCTGCAAACCAAATTTTGTGCTAATATTTGTAGTTAACAAAAATGTTAACAAAATTAATAAAAATCATGTATTAAAAGTATCTTAATTGCTTTTGCTCCAATATTTAGCTGCAATGAAAATGTTTTTCTAAATTAGCAATTTGACTTGTTTCAATAGATGGTTCAGTGTAAAAAAGTAAGTTATGAAAAAATGTAGACAAAACTTTCATTCAAAAACAATAATTTGGGGGAAATGTTTCTTAGACATTCGTACTGAGATTAAACTACAGATGTCACTAATTCAGATCTTTTAAGGCAGTGATTCTTAAATTTAATGTACCTCAGATCATCTAAAGGCACTTGTTAAAAACAAAAATTGAGGAGTCCCATCCTCAGGACTTGATTCATTAGAGTAGGAGGGTTTGCAAGATTTTGCATCTCTAACATGTTTCTAAGTGATGCTGTTGCTGCTGGTCTAGGGACCACACTTGCAGAATCAGTTCTTCTAGAAGAGCAGCTGGTATTAAACACTCTTAAAATACTTTCTCTGTAAAGGTTAAATCAGATTTTATCATAACTTCACGTATTTAGGTGCTTTTTTTTCCATAACACTTTATCATATGATACTTTCCTTAAAATATAGAATTGATTTATAAATTACTTTATAACTACTATGTTTTTAATATATAAAGTTCCTAGAAATAAAAAATATGTCTACTTTTAGACAAATTTAGCCCGTTTTTAATTTCAGCTTTAATATATGAAAAGTTTAACATGTAGGTCTCTCTTACCCTCTCAGAATAATCATGTGCATGGACAACCATATACGGGGCCAGCAGCACATCACTTGAACAGCCATCAGAAAACTGGCCAACAGGAACAAGAAAATTGTGAAGGCAGCGAAGAAGTATCCTCATCTCAAATGAAAGATCAGTGAAATATTCATAATTAACTAGTTCCTTTAAGACCATGCACTCAGGCCTTACAGTCCAAACTTTTTATGTGTAGCTAGTATTTAAAACTAGAAAAACTGTTCAATATAGAATTTTTGTTCACTGTCTCATTTGCAGAAATTTGCTGTCACCTTCAGGGGAAAGTGTATAGTGTTTTATAAAAAATGACTGATTAATATTATGTAAATGGCAAAGGTGTATATAGTTTATTAATGTTTGACTTAATTCTTACACAAAATTTTTTTGATAGGGAGGCAGCGATCTACAAAATAATAATTTTCTTGTTAATGTCCACTGCATTCTGCAGCCAGTATTGTCTGCTTCATGGCAGTTGGATCAGTCTTTACCAAAAAAAAAAAGTAACATAAAAGAGCTCATCCATGTCAATCACGCCAGTAGTTTCTTGACAATTCTTAGTTACTGGAGCCATATCAAACTGATACGTAAACTTTGAATTATATGAATGATGTTAAAAAGTTGGTGTTGTAACATTGTTTCTGGATATTTTTCATTACCTTTTTATTCTGGTGGTAGGTTAATCACCTTAAAGCTGTAGTTCTGCTATAACATTTAGCATGGCTTCACACTGTTTGTGTAGCCAGTAAGGACAAAATCACCTGAAAGACAGCAGTTTCCCCAAAGTGACAGCTATATTGCCCAGAGATTTTATTTCACGTAACTAGAGCATACATAATAAAATAAGGAAGAAATGTGACAAACAAGCAGTTTTTAGTTGCACATACATTCTTTATTCTCAGTGTTTGACAGTTCAGTCTCTTGATGGGATGAAGAATGTGAATGTATTGATAATATGAATTTTAAATTATTAAAACAAATATGCAAAAGTTTGCTATGCCACAATGTTTGGAGCTTATAGAAGACTGTATTTGATATTCTTGTTTTGTTTTTTGGTAGATTTTCTTAACTGAAACTTCTAAAATTTTGCTTCAACTGGTGTCCGATAAGGTGGGCATCATCAGAATCCCATAATACTTTGAAGTACCATAGAACCAGGATGTCTGGCTGATTTTTCTAGTCAGTCAGAATTTTACTCAAGCAAGAATTATCCCAGTTCCTTTCCCATTCCAAAACTCTTACTGTTGTGGGTTTTAATTAAAACTTAAGTTTCTGGCTAGTTAATATATTTCTGAAGTACTGTTTAGAATACACATTAGCTTCAGGATTCCAAGAAATTCATGAGTTAATACTATATTTAAAAAAGAATTGGTAATTTTTGAATGTCTGTAATATTTTGGAACCTGTCTAAAAACCAAATATTCCTGTGAACAGATACAGCCTGTCTTATACTATTTAAATATTTTGCTGTTTTGTTTTATAGAAATTATTTTGCTGAATTCACAATAGAATTTGATTTAAGAATAATTTTGTCCTGTGATATTTTTGTCTCATATTCTTTTTTTATTCTTAGGGACTACACATTAAAATTAATTCCTTGTGTAATATGCCTTATCATGACACTGCATTCAACATTTCAGACACATTCAGTTTTTGTGCTTTAAAATGACTTGCCTTTTGGTAATATATTTGGCAATGGAAGGAAATCAATGGGTGGTGATTACAATGAAATATTTACATATATGAAATACTATTGAATTTAGAATACACTTGAAAGTTATTGGATTTTGTTGATCATTGTCACCCCAATAATTTTTAATTTAAAAAAAATAATTTGCCTTTTGCCCATTAGTATGAAGATTTAGAGAAAAGGAAAACAAGTATTGTTTTTTGGCATATTTTTATAATCAGTTCTTATTATTTAAATTAGTTATGTTCTATAAGTATTGCCATGCACTGAGTTAACAAATATTGAACCAGCCGCTCCTAGGAGAAGTACTACATTAAAACATTGAAAAGAGTCTGATCACATTTTCACCTGTCAATATTTAATATATATTGTTAATTATCATTAAACTCAAGGCCAACAGCACTGTATAACTCATGTATTAACAATGGTTATCTACCATACATGTTTGTCCATAAGGCTCATTTTGGCCTTTTTGTGCTTAAGAGCAGTAGACAGCACTTAAGCACTGTGCTTGGACAAAGACATTTTAAACAGCAAAATCACACACACACACACAAAATTAATAGAGTGTGGCACTTGGGGAAAAAACCCCTTTTTTATAGAATGAGAGCTGAAATATGAAGGCCGATTGTTCAACCTTACCTAGAACATTGATGTCAAGTAACCAATTTTTTTGCTGCTTTGGACATGTCAGTAAATGGCCACAACTTTGATTTTGTATTAGCAAACTTAACTGAGGCTTTACATGGCATAGGAGGCTTATAAATTCCAAGCAACCCAGATTGGAACCTTCCTACATGTAGAAAAATTACAAGTTTTAAAGCTAAGAAAGAAGATAGTCTCATTGAGAGAAATTTAATTGAAAAATTATTGTATGCAAATCTTTTTCTATATATATTATATATTCATTATTATACATATTGAAATTTTGAGAGGTATTATAGGAGCAGCATAGTAGTGATTTTGAAGAAATCTTTTTCTAACATAATGGCACATTTTAATTTCAAGTTCTTCAAATTAAAGATTATTAAATTGTTTCTCCAACAAAGCCACAGCCAAAAACAAACAAAAAAATTAGTAAAATGTGGCAGTCAATGAGCAAAAGAAAAAAGCTTTGAGTACCTGATGTTTTGAGCATTAAATATGGTTAAATGTTTGAGACATCAGTGGTCTTTCATTAAAAGAAATTTTCCAGCTTCCTTTCCTGGCAGTATGGCTCCTAGGAAGAAGAGAGGCGAGAAGAAGGGCCATTCTGCCATCAACGAGGTAGTGACCAGAGAATACACCATCAGCATTCACAAGCGCATCCGTGAAGTGGGTTTCAATAAGCGTGCCCCTCAGGCATTCAAAGAGATTAAGAAATTTGCCATGAAGGATATGGGAACTCCATATGTGCACCTTGACACCACGCTTAACAAGGCCATCTGGGCCAAAGGGAAAATCTGGGTGCAGTTGTCCAAAAAAGGTAACAAAGATGAAGATTCACCAAACAAGCTATATACATTGATACCTATGTGCCTGTCACTTTCAAAAATCTACAGACAGTTACTGTGTATGAGAGCTAACTGTTGATTGTTGAATAAAGTTACAAAACTGCCCCCTCCCAAAATATTCCAGAATTCTCAATGACATTATTACTTTATGGAAATTCTACTTTAGAAAATATGTGAGTATATAAATGTTAAATATGTTTTAGTTGTAAAGTATATGTAAACAAGGTTTTTGTCCCGTGGGTTCTAGGTGTTTTATTGCATATCTTGATAAAAATCATATTGCTTCTCATTCCTCATTTCTCTAGCAATCAAGTTTTCCAAAGTATGGTCAAGGCAGACATTATAAGAATCTAATTGTTGTTTGAAGTTTTTGCCTTCTATTGACTTTTGAAATTTTCAGTCTTGTTCTTTGTAGCACTTACGTATGAAAATTAGAATTGCTGATTCCTCAAAAAACAAAAGTCCTGGGCCAGATGGCTTCCTAGGCAACTTTTACCAATCATTCAAAGAAGAATTAAGACTCTCAAACTATTTTAAAAATTTCAAGAAGAGGGAACCTCCCTAACTCCTTTTATGAGGCCATCATTACCTTGATTCCAAAACTAGATAGAGATTACAAAAAACTATAGGCTGATACTTCTTATGAATATTGATGCAAAAATCTTCAACAAAATACTAGCAAACTGAATTTTAACAGTACATTAAATCATAGACTAGATCAAGTTGGATTTATTCCTGGGATGCAGGTTGGTACAATATTTGAAAATCAATGTGATACATCACATTAACAAATCAAAGTAAAAATCATATGATCATATCGATAGATACAGAAAAAGCATTTGATGAAACCCAGCATCCATTTACGATAAAAAAATGGTAATGGAACAAACCTCAACATAACAGAGGCCACATAACAGACCTGCGGCTAACATCAATGTGGAAATGCTAAAAGCATTTTTCTTAAGATGAAAAACAAGAGAGGGATACCTACTTTCCCCATGGCTCTTCAACATTGTATTGGGATTCTTAGCCATGACAGTATGACAAGAAAGAGAAATAAAAGGTATTTGAATTGGAAAAGAAGTAGTACAACTCTTGCTATTTGCCAATAACATGATATATAGAGAACCCTAAAGATTCCACTAAAGGATGGTTAGAGCTGATCAATGAATTCAGTAAAGTAGCAGGATACAAAACTCTGAACCCAGAGGCAGTTTTATACACACATGATGAATTTCAGAAAGAAATTAAAAATACAATTCCATTTGCAATTAAATCAAAAACTATAAATTACTTTGGAATCAAATTAACCAAGGAGGTAAAAAAACCGGTTCTCAAAAAATTATGTCATTTAAAAAAGAAATTGAAGAAGATACAAATACTCAAAGGTAGGAAGAATGAACATAATTAAAATGGCCATACAACCCAAATAAATCTATATATTCAGTGCAATCCCTATCAAAATAGCAATGGCATCTTTCAGAAAGCTAGAACAAATCTAAAATTTGTATGGAATCATAAAAGACTCCTAATAGCCATGGCAATCTTGAGAAAGAACAAAGTTGGATGGATCCACTACCTGATATCAAATGATACTACAAGCCTACAGTAATCAAAATGGTATTGTTCTGGCATAATATAATGTTGCTCATTAGAACAAAACATCCCAGAAATAATTCCATGCCTATATGTCACTTAATAAATGACAAAGGAGGCAAGAATAAATAATGGAGTAATGACAGTCTCTTCACCAGGTGATGCTGGGAAAATTGGACAAATACATGCCAAAAAAAAAGGTGGGCAACCTTCTTACACCATGTATAAGAATAGACTCAAAATGAATTAAAAACTTAAGACCCGAAACCATAAAATTTTTATAAGAAAGCATAGTAACTGATATTGCTATCAGTAAATTTTTTTTTTTTTTTTGATATATCTCTTTGGGCAAAAGAAACAAAAAGGGACTACATCAAACTAAAAAGTTTTTGTACAGCAAAGGAAAACAACTGACAATGTTAGAAGATATTCATGATACATCTAATAAGTTAATATCCAAAAATACATAAAAACTCAGCAACAAAACAAAATGAAATCCAATTTAAAAAATGGGCAGAAGACCTGAACAGATATTTCTCCAAAGAGGAAATGCAGATGGCCAGTAGACATATGAAAAGACACTATAATAAAAATTGCAAATTAAAACCACAATGAGATATCTCATACCTGTCAAGATGGCTATCATCAATAAATCAACAAGTGATGGTAAGCATGTGGAGAAAAGAAAACTCATACACTGAGATTTGATGGGACTGCAAGTTGGTACAGCTACTATGAAAAACAGTCTGGAGGTTTCTCCAGACTAAAATTAAAAATAAATCTACCTTTTGACCCAGCAATTGCACTTCTTGGTATTTATCCAAAGAAAACTAAAACAGTAATTCATAAAGATCTATGCATTCCAATATTCATGGCAGCACAATTTATAATAGTCAAGATATGGAAGCAACTTAAATGCCCTTCAACAGATGATTGGATAAAGAAGTTATGGTTCATATATACAATGGGATATTAGTCATTTAAAAAAAATGAAATTCTACCGTTTGCAATGACGTGTGGTCTAGAAATTCTTATACTGAGTGAAATAAGTCACAGAGAAAGATAAATACTGTATTTCACTTATATGCAGAAATCTAAAGAAGAAAACTAATCAAAAACATTAACAAATGTGGTGGACAATTTGGTGACAGACAGAGGGGAGGGAGATTAGGAGCCTGGGAGAATGGGTTGAAGGGTTAAATGGACAAATTAGTAGTTGATAGGTGGTCACAGGGTTGAGGAGCACAGCATTGGGAATGCAGTCAGCAGTTATATAATGGCGACAGGTAGAGCCAGGGGAGGGAGGGAGCAATTAGGGGGATCATTTTCTAAACTAGAAATGTCTAATCAATGTACTATATACTTGAAACTTAATAAAATTTTTTAAAATTAGAATTGCTGAAGTGCTTTTTTTTTTTTTCATGGCAACTTTTATTAGTGAACTAAAGGCAAATCCTAGTTTAGTCCTAGTATGGATAAAAAAGATACAGATCAGGACCTATTTCAATTTGAGTCATTAAAGAAAACCATCTGTGGATCTTCAAATAACTAATTCAGAATATTTTTTACCAAATTGTATTTTTTTTCTGCTTTTGCTTTCATGTGCATTACTTGTACTGTTAAATTTTGTAACAGTCTAGAATTTTAACAATAAATACTCTTTTCACTTTTAAAATGCTTGTAAAGTTCAGAGATCTCCAACACATTTGATAATTCAAGCATTGTTTATGGTTGCCACTTTTTATAGT